GAAGAGTTTTAACAGGAAGATCTCACTAGTTAATCAGTGATGCAGTAGCATAGTATCCTAGAAATTTGTCGATCAACAAATATTTTTGAATGCCTGCTGTCTGTCAGGTTCTGGGGATACAACAGTAGATAAATAGGCTCTGCCTTTCTGGTACTTACAAACTAGAGAGTAAACGAGCACTGAGTAAATAACTGGTTAAATCATCTTAACTGTATCAGTTTTGGAACCCATACTGAGGGAACTTGCGTAGCTCAGAGCAAAGCAATACTGTTGTCAGAGCCTGGAGTCAGGTGATAGCTTTTAGTTCTGACCCTCATTTATTGTGTGATCTTGAGCAGTTCACTTCCCTCCCCTCTAGCACTTAGTTTTATCTTCAGGGAAATAGAGACTTTGTTTTGAATGGCCTCCAAGCTTGTTCCTAATTCTAGGTATCTGTGGTTAAGTGTTAAAGGTACCCCATTCATGTACTCAACAAAATGAAATCTGTTTCCTAAGAAAGGAAGAGTCCCATTATCCCCTTTATAATCCCATGAACTATGTGCTAAACCCCAAGAATTATATATGCAAGCTTGTTGATGTACTTGGGATGCCAGACATGAAAGAGACTGGCTGTTAGCATGCCTCAAAGCTCACTTTCTTCTCATGAGGAATTTTGCCTGGCATAGAGAATGAATTATGGAGTCTGACTATCTGGAATCAGCAGAAGGAATCTCTCCCATTTACTACTATGACATTGGGAAAGACATTTAATTTCCCTGAGCTTCCTCATCTAAAATATGGAGGCAGTTGGGAGGATAAAACTACTGGACACGCAGTAATGCTATATACAATGGCAAGATAACAGGTATAAAAAGCACTAAGTGAATTGTTGTTAAGTGCCATCAAGTCGGTTCTGACTCCATTTTCTCTGCCAAGGGCCATTTAGATATTTATACCATCATTCACAGGCCATACAAAATAATCAATTTAAAAATTAGCCTGGTAGATTTGGTCAAAAATTTAATTAACTCACCCCAATGTAATGGCTAGGAGTCCTGGTGTGGTGCTGTGGGTTAATTTGCCAGACTGCAAAGCCGTTTGAACTGCAAGCTTGGCAGTTCAAGCTCACCAGTTGCTCCTTGGAAACCCTATACAGGGTTGCTATGGGTTGGAATAGACTCAATGGCACTTAACAACAACAACAATGTGATGGCTGGAGTCCTGGTGTGGCACTGCAGGTTAATGTGCTAGACTGCAAGGTCAGTTTGAACCACATGGTCAGCAATTCAAGCTCACCAGCCACTCCTTGGAAACGCTATACATGGTCCCTATAAGTAGGAACCAACTCAAAGGCACTTATCAACAACAACAACAACAACCATGTGTTGGCTAAGGAGCTCTGGTAGCATAGTGGACTCAAGTCAGGCTACTAACCTCAAGGTTGGTAGTTTGAAACTATCAGCCTGTCCATGGCAGAAAGATGAGGGTTTCTGCTCTTGTAAAGATTTACAGCCTCCAAAACCTTATACAGTGTTACTATGAGTTGGAACCCACTCCCCAGCACGTAAAGAACCAACCGGTATGATGGTTGGAACTGTAATTGCCTTGGCAGGGCCAGACCAAATGATTTCACAGACTTTATATGGTTCATGAGCCAAACATTCCCCATGCCAGCTTTAAATCTTTGCAGGCGCAGAAAGCCTCATCTTTCTCCCACGAAGCGGCAGGCAGGTTTGAATGACAGACCTTGTGCTTCGTCACAGTCCAGTGCTTAACATGTAAAGCCACAACACTCCCCTACGTGAATTGTTGCTGTTACGTGCCGTCAAGTTGGTTCCAACCCATAGCAATTCTGTACAGGGTTTCCGAGGAACAGCTGGTGAGCTTGAACCGCCATGGGATATTAAAGATATAGTCAAATGATTTCTGCATTCCATTGGATCACCTCTCTTTAGAATGGGCACAAATACAGATCTTTTCCAATCAGTTGGCCAGATGGTTGTCTTCCAAATTTCTTGACATAGATGAGTGAATGCCTCCAGTACCACCTCACTTTCTTGAAAGATTTCAATTTGTAGTCCATCAATTCCTGGTGCCTTGTTCTCTGCCAATTCCTTCAATGCACCTTGGACTTCTTCCTTCAGGGTCATTGGTTCTTGATCATATGCTACCTCTTGAAATGGTTGAACATCAACCATTTCCTTATGGTACAGTGACTCTGTGTATTCTTCCATATTCTTTTGATGCTTTCTGCATCATTCAATAATTTACCCAGAGAATCCTTCAATAACAAAAGTTGAGGCTTGAGTTTTTTTCTTCAGTTGCTCCAGCTTGAGAAATGCTTAGTGTGTTCTTCCCTTTTGGTTTTCTGACTCCAGATCTTTTCACATTTTGTTGTCGTTGTCTTCCCTAGTTTTGTCAAAGTCATATTTGACTTTGTCTTCCCTAGCTGAAATTTAAATTTTTCTGTTCAGCTCTTGTAATTCCTTATTTCTTCCATTTGATTTAGCATCTCTATGCTGCAAAGGAGCTCTGGTAGCGTAGTGGTTACGAATCGGGCTGTGAACCTTAAGGTCAGCGGTTCGAAATTACCAGCCGCTCCATGGGAGAAAGATGAGGCTTTCTACTCCCGTAAGGATTTACACCCTCGGAAACCCTGTACAGGGTCACTATGGGTCAGAACTGACTCGACGGCACTTAACAACAACAACAATGCTGCAAAGAAAGTTTCAGTGTCTCTTCTGACCTCCATCTTGATCTTTTCCTTATTTCTTGTCTTCTTAATGACCTTGTGCTTTCTTCCTGTATGATGTTTTTTATATCATCCCACAACTCTTCTGGTCTTCAGTCTTTAGTGTTTACGGTACCAAATCTGTTCTTCAGATGATGTCTAAATTCAGGTGGGATATATTCAAGGTCCTATTTTGGCTCTCATGGACTTGTTTTCATTTTCATCAGCTTCAATTCATCAGTCTGAATTTGCATATAAGTAATTGATGGTCTGTTCCACAGTCTGCCCCTAGGATTGTTCTGGCTGATGATATGGAGCTTTGCCACTGTCTTTTTCCACTTATGTAGTCAATTTGATTTCTGTATATTCCATCTGGTGAGGTCCATGTGTATAGTCGTGTCTTATGCTGTCTAAAGAAGGTATTTGAAATGAACAAATCATTGGTTTTGCAGAATTCTATTATGTGATCTCCAGCATCATTTCTATTACCAAGACCATATTTCCTAACTACTGATTCTTCCTCTTTGTTTCCAACCTTTGCATTTCCACTCACCAGTAATGATCAATACATCTCAATTGCATGTTTGATCAATTTCAGATTAAAGAAGTTTCTAGAATTCTTCTATTTCATCCTCACTGGCTTTAGTGTGTAAATTTGAATAATAGTGGTATTAACTGGGCTTCCCTGTAGGCACATGGATATTATCCTATCACAGACAGCGTTGTACCTCATGACTGATCTAGATATGTTCTTTTTGATTATTTGCCATTCCCAGCATAGTAAACCATGTGGTTGTCAGATTCAAAATGGCCAATACCAGTCCATTTCAGCTCACTAATGCCTAAGATATTAATGTTTATGCATTCCATTTCACTTTTGACAATTTCCAATTTTCCTAGATTCATACTTCGTACATTCCATGTTCTGATAATTAATGGATGTTTACAACTGTTTCTCTTCATTTTGAATTGTGCCCCATCAGCAAATGAAGGTCCCACGGGCTTTTCTCCCACAGTCTTTACTCCATTCATGTCATCATAGTTAACTCTGCTCTGTGGAGGCAGCTCTTCTCCAGTTGCATTTTGAGTGCCTTCCAAGCTGAGGGGCTCATTTTCCAGCATTATATCTGACAGTGTTTCTCTGCTATTCATAAGATTTTCAGTGACTAAATATCTGGAAGTAGTTCATCACTCCTTCTTCCTGGTCTGTCTTAATCTGGAAGGTCATCTGAAATCTGTCCAATGTGGAGACCCTGCTGGTATTTCAAATACCTGTGGCATAGCTTCCAGAATCACAGCAACTCACAAGCCACCACAGTATGACAAACTGACAGACAAGTGGTGGATTTTAGAAACTAGATCTTGCACTATCTCTACTTTACAGCCAATGTAGGAGATTTGACAAACTAGACCAGCACTGGGCATTTCACTGGGGAAAGCAGTTGCTGCCTTTTAATACCAGGTCTCCATACCACTCTGAAAGTATCCTTATTTCTACCTTGGCCCCATTCCCCCATTTGCCTTACCTGATTAACTCCTGTAGACACTTTTAATTGAAGATCCTGTTATTGTGACTCTGAAGAAAGACAATTCAGTGTGGACTAGATAAGGTCTTGTGGCCAGGGGGTGAGGAGGCTTCCCATCTTTATCAAAGTCTAACTAGGACTTCAGTAGACAGTGCAATCAGAGATAAGGAAGAGGATTATATATCCAGGCGGCAGCACACAGACTAGCCATCTGAGCAGGAGGTCCATGTTGAGAAGTAATGGGTTGAGAAAAAAGGAAATGTAAATTATGTTAAAAATATAGATGTTAGACATGGGCCTATGGAAGTGATCATACTAAAAATGAAAATTTCCTGAGGGTTTTTTGAGACCAAGAATAGCATGAAGAAAACAGTGTTTTAGAAAGAATGGGCTGATAGTGATCTATATGGAAGTTTGAAAAGAAAAGAGGTGAAAGGCAGCAAAATCAGGATAGAGGTTGAGGCACAAGTCCAGGATTGACGGCAAATGGGTCTGAGCCCAACTGGAAGCAGTAGGAATGGGAAGCAAATGGTAGATAGATAGAGCAGGAAAAACCACCATGACCTGGCAAATGATGGGCATGCAGGGTAGAGGGTAAAGGGAGGAATCAAATAAGAATCTGAATTACAGGCCTGTAGGAAGATGAGCTAGATGCAAGACAGTAGGGAAGACAGTATCATCATTTAGCTATACAAAGGCTTTGATAGAGAGAGCCTTTCTTTCCAATGTCATTAAAAACCCTCACCCACACCTTTCTCTTCCAGGAAAAAGATGTGACTCCAGATAAAAGTTTACTGACCAAGGTGCAGGATGCTGCCCTGTGGCTGGAAACCTTGTCAGACACAAAGCCTGCCAAGTCTTCCTTCTCCACCCCTTCCTCCATTGCTGATTTCTTCCTGGCTCTGACCATCTGCAACTCTGTCATGGTCTCCACAACCACTGAGCCCAGGCAAAGGGTAAGGATTGCTGATGGTAGGGGTGAAAAAGGGAGGCAGGGAGGGAGAAGCAGAGATAGGGAGAAGGAAGAAGTCCTGAACAGGGAGACAAGATACCTGGGTCCTAGCTAGTATCACCATTTCATCATTGGGAAATTTTGAATGAGTCTCTAATCCTTTCAGAACCTCAGTTTCCTCATTTTTAAATAAAATGGGTAAAATTATACATGAGATTTCTGTGTAGCTTTCAACTTTGTGTCACACTTGTCAGTAGAGTTATTATTTTCTGGGCACTTGCTCTATGCCAGGTGCCATGCCAAATACCTTACCTGCATAATCGTTTAATCTTCATAACCCAACAACCCTGTGAGTTATGTCCTTGGATTTAGCAAGTGAATAAAACATAATTAAGAGAGAAGTAACTTACCAAGGGTATAGGGTGGTTGTTGTTCCTAAGTGCCATTAAGTCATTTCTGACTCAGAGTAAACAATGTTGTGGTTCAAACCAACCTTGCAATCCAGTCTACAGCACCATAGCAGGAGTCCAGGGTATATGGTTGTTGTTGTTGTTGTTGTTGTTAAGTGCCGTCAAGCTGTTCCGACCCATAGTGACCCATATAGGGTTTCCAAGGAGCAATTGGTGAACTTGAACTGCCAACCTTGTGGTTCAAACAACTTTGCAGTCCAGTGCATTAACCCACAGCAGGACTGGTAAACCATAATTCCATATGATTCTATATGATTTAGCAATGACTCATAATAACGTTATTTATTCTGGCATCTGCTTTTACATGTCGTTGCTATTGCTGTTATTAGTTGTGTTGAGTAAATCCCCTTCCCCGTGACCTTTTACAGATCAGCCCATTGTAATCCATCAGTTCTCACTGGCTAACCTTCATTAGTAGATCACCTTTCTGTCTAGTTCATCTAAGTCTGGAAACTGTAGGACACAAGCCTCCACTGATAGACCTGTGACTGGTATAGATAGATAGATAGATAGATAGATAGATAGATAGATAGATAGATAGATAGGTAGGTAGGTAGGTAGGTAGGTAGGTAG